GTCCTTGGAGCCGGAAAAAAACCGGGTTTTTCACTTGGGCGGGTGGGGATTCACTTTTTTTTTCAAGGGGGGCCTGGGGCCCGGAAAAACTTTTAGAATTTTTTTTTGGGCGGAGTTTTATTGAACCTTTTTTTAGAAACACCCCGCCCTTCCACCCGAGGAGGGTTTTTGGGTTTGAAAGGGGGGGGAAAACCACCCCCTTGGGGGGTACGGTTAAAACCGAACCCAAGTTGGAAGGGGGGGGCGCCGCAAAAAAGGGGGAACCCGGAAAACCGGGGTCAAATGCCTTTGGTTGGGGGGGGGGGGGGGACCCCCCCCCCCCAGAAGAAGCTTTTTGTTGGGGGGGGGGCCCCCCCCCCCCCCCCCCAGCAGCAGCGCTCTGCTGCTGGGGGGGTCAGACCCCCCCCCCCTAGCAACAGGGATGACTTTAGATGTGCAGGGGGGGGTACCGAGCAATGTGCGGCCGCTCTAGCTGACTGTAGCCAGCTTCCCTAGCAGCTTCCCGGCCTCCGGCGTCTACCGGGAGCCTCCCGGACCATCGACCCCGGGAGCTCTCCCGCACCGTTTAAGCGTTTAAGACCGTTTAAGGAATCGGCGGCCCAGCAGCTCTTAAAACTTGCCAGGGCAAATTTTAAGCCGTTTAAGCCGCAGGCGCCCCAGGGCCCACCCTTTTAAGCCTAGGGGTCCCCTAAGAGAGCAGCGGGGGAGTCAGATCTTGTGGCAGAGAGACTGAAGACCGCGGGGAGAGACTGTGCAGAGAGACTGAAGACCGCGTTTCGCGGGGAGAGACTGTGCGGGTCAGTACGACTGACTCCTGTCGTCGTACCGAGGGTCTGTGTCTAGATAGAGAGCCGCGTGCGGGGAATCTCTGTTTTGACTTATCTTTCGACGAACTTGCAACAACTTCCACTCTTCTTTCGACGAACGTGCTGAGGGGACAGGGGCAAGTAAGGTATGTGCCAGGTATGAACGTATCGGGGTATCTATTTCCATCTTCGGGGTAGGAAAGAAATCCTTCACGTTTTGACCCCTTCTTGTTCAGCTGTGAGCGCTGTCAGAGCGGTGTTTCGACACCGATATCGTTCAAGGAGAACGCTGATTCAAAATCCGCTGTTCACACTTCATAGGTAAGTGTAAGGGGCAGCTGTTCCTGCGCTCCACGCCGGGCCACTGTGGCGTCGAACAAGCCGACTCCCATATATGTCCTTCACAGCGGCCCAGCGCTTCATCGGCAATGTCCGATCGATGCTGCCGCGGCTCGTCAACAGCGGCGTCGTCGTCAACGGGGAGCCCATCCTGTATTGCGAGCCGCGCGCCGTGCCGGCGGTGCTGACCTTTCTGCGAGACCACTCTGGCACGCGGTGTAAGCAGCTGAGCGATTTGACCGCGGTGGACATCCCGACGCGAGAAAAGCGCTTCGAGGCGCCCGTGCCGGCCTCTTGCGCGCGGCGCTTCTGCCCTCCTCTGCCGCCTGCGCGCGCGCGCTGCGGCGCCTCTCTGCCTGCGCAGCGCGCCGGCCGCGCAGACCGCCGGGCTCAACCTGCTCCGCCCCGCGCGCGCGCAGGTCATGTACCAGCTGCTCAGCGTGGATCACAATAGCCGCTGCCGCGTCAAGACGCTCTGCGGCGGGCACGAGGGCGACGAGGGCGTCCCCTCGTCGGTCGGCGTCTTCAACTCGGCAAACTGGCTGGAGCGCGAGGTGTGGGACATGTACGGCATCTTTTTCCACGGGCACCCCGACCTGCGCCGCATCCTGACCGACTATGGCTTCCAGGGCCATCCCATGCGGAAGGACTTCCCGCTCTCCGGCTTTGTCGAGTGCCGGTACGACGCGACCAAGAAGCGCGTCGTCACGGAGCCGCTCGAGCTGACGCAGGAGTTCCGGCAATTTGACCTGCTCTCGCCGTGGCAAAAGCCCTAGTAGGGCACGGCGCGGCGTCTCGTGTGTCGCGTCTCCGGCCTCGCACACGGCGTCGAGCGGCGACGAGACGCTCGTGTTCCTCCGTACGGGGAGGCTGCAGCGCGGCGCAGCGCACGCGTGCTGCCCCCGCCTCGTACCGCAGTCGAGCGCGCCGCCGCCGCCGAGACGCGGTGGGGTTTTGTATTCTCGATCTTACTAGTAGTAAACAATATGGAATGTTTTCCGTCAAGACACTCATCGCAGCATTCTCACCATTCTGACCCACATTCTTCCGCTTAACACGCGAGTCCAAAGAAAGAAAACAATAATCCAAGGGAGGGATGGTAGGACGGATAACACGCGAGTCCGTGAATAGTTGATGGGTATCGTAATTCGGGGCTCGGGGTTGTGCGTTTACGAAGGGAGAGAGAGAATTCTTGATACGAAACCACGACGACACACACCAGTCGACTCGCATCGGTTGCCTCCATGAACGGCGGAGCTATTCTCGCGCCCACACCACACCTGGCTCCAACGTGGACACACCCATAGCTGGGGACACTACTAGGTCACGCATGGCATCACAGAAGTTTTATCTCTGGGCCCCGAAAGGCATCTCTAGCAGTGTCGTTACACATGCCCCCTCCCCTCCTGGGCGCATGCACCTCACGTCTCGCCAGAGCATACGCCCTTGGTGTGTGGCGAGACGAGTTTTTCGCCATGCAGCGAGCAGCAAGCCGCCCGCCGCAAACAGCCGGAGGCCTCGCCGCGGCACTGGCTGCGCCGCGGTCCCGCACCCGTCGACGCAGCTCCCCCCGCGGAAGACCGCGCGTAGCGACGCCTTGACGATCGAGATGAGCGCGCTCGAGGCTCGCCCACCTACTGCCCCTCTCTCTCTCTCTCTCTCTCTTTACGAAGGGTTTTTTCGTCTTCTTTTTCTTTGATTACATTGCCGCCGAGCGCTGTCGCGGGCAGCCCCACCGAGTGCTGTCGTCCCATGTATATGCCACCTCTTGGATCCCTCTTCAGCCTCGCTGGCAAGACCGTCCTGGTGACTGGCGCCTCGAGCGGGCTGGGAAAGAGCATGGCCCTCACGCTCGCAAAGGCCGGTGCATCGGTCGGATTGGTCGCACGGCGGAAATCGCAGCTCGACGAGGTTGCGTCGGACATCGCGGCGCTCGGCGGCAAGGCGCACGCCGTGACGCTCGACGTGACGCAGGTTTCCGCCATCGACCCGGTGCTGGCCGAGGTTGAGGCGAGCCTCGGCCCGATCGACGTGCTCGTGAACAACGCCGGCCTCTCGCTCGACGAGAAGGCTCTCCAGGTCGAGGAGGCGGCGTACGACACCGTGCTCGGCGTCAACACGCGGGCGCCCTTCTTCCTGGCGCAGGCGGTGGCGCGGCGGATGGTCGCAGAGAAGAGGCCCGGCTCGATCGTCAACATCGCGTCGCTCATCTCGCTCAAGGTTGTCAACAACCTCGCGACGTACGCAATGTCCAAAGCGGCGCGCAGCAGAGCCTCGGACGCGCCGCACGCGCGACCTCCCCTTGCCGCACCCGGAGCCGCGCGTGCGCCTGGCCTCTGCCTACATGAGCGCGATGTCCCGCCGCTCTCTCTCCCCTCACAGGCGCTGGACCACATGACGCGCGCTCTGGCAAAGGAGTGGATTCGCCACGGCATCCGCGTCAACAGCATACAGCCGGGGTACATCCGGACCGAGATCAACTCTGAGTTTTTCGACTCGCCAGCCGGCCTCGAGTTCATCAGCCGCATGCCAAACAAGCGGCGCCGAGATCTAGCCGAGATCTAGCCGAGATCTAGCCGAGATG